CCTTTGCTTTTTTCTAGAAAAGAATATAGAGACTTAGATTTCCAAAACTAATGACACCCTTTTTTCTCCCAATCTGTTTTGGACAGGATTATGTTACCCACTGTTGGGTTATACTACGTGAAATGAATACTGTCCATAACTGGAATTCAATCCTAAATCTTTGTGTGATTGAAGCATTTACCAGACAGATTCCCAGCTCAGAGTGAATACTGATATCGGGTAGTCGTTTGAATTTTTTGTTCCTTACTTCTTTACTCCCATTGTCCTTTGGTTAAAGGACTCTAATCTCTTAATCCATTGTCCTCTGTTTCCCCTATTTTCTTTCCCCTCTTCTCTCCTATCCCTTTAGGATTTTTCAGCAGGACTCACTCAGAGGCTAGGCCTTAGGTGTCCATCCTTAGTGACTTTGGAAACCAGGGCCAGCAGCAGGGTGAGGCAGCGAGGTATCCGGGCCCAAAATTGGAGAAGGCGTCTGCCCCCAAGGCCACATGTGGTATCTTGGAGTCATAGAATATCAGTGTTGGATTATTACAAGAGATGATGAAGATCTCTTATATTACAACATTTTCACTTTAAAAACTCGGTATTTGTATCACTCTTACAGGCATCCAGTAGAGCCAAATTCTGTAGAGATTTGAATTTAAGAGTTGAAAACATTGTAGTTCCATTTGCTCCTTTTGACTCGTTTCTTTTCCATATTTACTGTAGACTAATATCTTGACCTAATTTTTTCATCTTTGAAGGTCTTTTATTGATTACCTTATCATACTTTGCTGTCACAAAAATACATATAAAAATTTGTATTCTGTACCTGTAAGACTTCAGTACTACAGGTTTCAAGTTATTCTTACAGATACTACCATATGAGTGATCAAAATAACAAATGTAACATTTTATCTTTTATGTTACATTTTCATAAATTTTATCCATAAAATGGATTTTTTTCACTTGGATTTAGATATCTGAGAATGAATATCATATTTTGCTAGAATGAGACAACAATTTTCAGCGACAATTATGTTCTTATTTTTAATAGATTCAAGGATTAAGAAACCTCACTCATATTAATAGACAGATAGGAGTAGGAGGTCTGTGGGTTTTTTTTTTAAATATCTAGCAATATCATTCAGTTCTTTAACCTTTTCTCAGCTGTATGCCAAAAATCAGGTGGTAATATATTACCTGTCAAAAATAATTTTTTTTGATCCAACAGTTAACAACTCGGTTAGGACTTCTTCAACATTATTGGAAATAACATTGGAGAACTCTAACTTACAGAAGGTTTTGTTGCCCTCTGTTGGACTCACGGGCGTCTCAGTCCCTGGGAAGCGTACCCGAGAAGCTTTACCAGGGCTCTCAACTTCGATTCCTGTAAATGTGTCTTCTCACTCAGACATGCCTTGCAGTGTTGAGAAGCGGTTGAGAAAATTGAAACATTCTTCACTGAAACACCTTGCCAATATAATATTTTTTCATGAAATGCTTTTATCTGACCATGAGTTTTAATTTTGTTCTCTCCAAACCTCAGCTTCAGCTCATTCCCTTGAAGCAGAACGACTACCACATAACCTTAGAGCCAGACGCATCCTGGGTCCGCTCACTGTCAGGACTGTGATGTTATTTTGGGTTCGGATAAACATGTTGGTATATGTTTCTGTGACAACTGTCCCATTCTTGAATTCTAAATATAAGACAGATACAGCTCTAGTTAAGATTTGGAGCTTTGCCAGAACTGGTACATTATAAATACTCACTTGAAGGGACAGGAGGCAGAGGAAGCAAAGTAATTAAGCAAAATGTGTCATCTCTACCACCTCATTCTACAGTGATCTGAAGTCAGAATATCCTGACATGGGAGAAATGGCCAGAAGACCCCGCTTCTAATGTCAGGTCTTTCTCTAAAATGAAGCAGAGAAATCAGGGAGCCCTCCTGCAGAGTAATAGTGCCTTGCTTAAAAGAGGTTTTGTTGATACCGGTATTAATTTTCTGAACCTCCCTTCACTTGGTGCCCTGAAGGTTTTTATACTTCAGCAAGACTCCTATACTCTGATATTTAGGATCATATAAGGGGTGTCTTCCTCCCTCCCCAGTAAAAGAAGGGCATTTGTAAAAAGAGAATTGGGAAAAGAGCAATTGCATGATTCCAGTGCAGGTGCGCTCTTGGGGCTGCCCGTTCTTAGGTAGGAGTGCATTTGTAGGGCGAGCACCTGGAAGTCCGTTTCCTGAAAGCCCACATATCAGCTGGACGGCCATTGGCTACCTTGAGTGAGTGCAGCGTGGAGACCGTGGATCTGGTCCACGAGTCCAGCCACGGCTTCCGTTGCTCTGGCACATTCCCACCCAGGGGTTGTCGGGCAGGAGGACATGGCCTCCAACTCGGGAAATACTCAGCTGCTAGACAAGGAAGAATAGGAAAGGAGTATCTGTTTATCTTTTTCCTCAAAGCTTTTCATGTCTATTTCTACCTGTTTTTACCACTGGTTGCACCCCGGTTCCCAAAGTGTGGTTCAGTTCACAGGCAGACACCCCTCGCTTTCCCTTCTGGGAGTTGTGTCCCCTGGGCTGGTCTGTAAGAGCCGAGGGACAATGGTGTAACCAACAGCAAAAGGCACGAGGCAGCAGGCTTCTTCACGCTGCTGCTCACCCAGAGGAGTCCTAGGAGGGCTGTCCTGTGAGGTCTTGGTGTGACTGCTGTGGGCATGGTCAGGGAGATTCAGATGGCGGGGACCTCTTGTGGAGAGGGGGTGCTGAGTAGCACATCTCTGAGGATGGCTGTGGGAGGTAGGGCTGGTGTGCAGGAAGGATCCGGTGCCAGCCTCACGTTGCAGAAGGCACATCCGAGGAGCAGAGCCAAGACGCTGCCAGCAGCGGACCGTCAGTGAAGAGCCTGGCAGCCCTGCAAGCACTCAGGTTGCACTCCTGGCTGACTTAGCTTAAGACCTAAGTTGAGCTTTTGTCTCTAACTCAGGTCTGAAATGTTTGCACGCTTGGGCATTACGATGCTAGGCGTTACATACATAAAGTATTTTTCATTTCAGGTGGGATCAAACTTGGCCTTGCCCTTGGGTGGTTCATATAGTGCTCAAGTGACAGAGTGGCCTTTTCTCGCTCTCTTTTTTTTTCCTTCTCAGTTTGTCAGCTGATGAGCAGCTGCAATTAAGAGTTTCTTCAGTTTCATCATTGGTTGCTGTTAATTTGCATGGATAAATTTAAACTTTGCTTTTAGCTGGGTCACAAGGTAGAATTACCTGGCATAAATACTTAATTTTTCCAGCTGACTCAAGCTCTCCATGATAAAAGTATTCTAGCTCATATTTCTTCCTGAAACTTGACCTTCATCATATGCATTGCTGCTTTCCCAGTTACTGGAATACATGCAGTACTAATTAGTTGCGTACAATATCTAGGGAATCCAATACCAAACTTAATTGTATTTTTAGTGAAAAATGGTGTCTCTGTGAATTTCCAGGAGGGAAGTACAGTTTGTATCACTTGAGTTTCTCATTACATATCCAGGAAAGTGTAGATTTTAGCAATTATAATAATCGTAAGATTATTTAATAATAATTACAAACTGATAGACGCAATGAAACTGCAAGTCCATTGCTGTATTTTATATAACATGTTAGACTCTTCTGAGCAAAGCTGTTTTTATGGGGTCTGGACCTATGCGTGTGTGTGTCCTCTCAGGGGTTTTTCTTCCCCTCCCACTCCCTGTCTGTTACCTGGGCCAGAAGCGTGCCTTTTTACTTCCTTGAATGCTTATGTTCTGAGTTACTAAAAGAAGCAGGATGGTGGTTAAATTATTCTAGATTACAAAATTGTATTCAAAGAACCTCTTAGAATTTGGGGAGCTTTTCAAATGATGAAAAAATAGTCTTCCCATTAAATTGACTGCAAAACCATGTCCTTTGTGCCTTGGTGTCCCGAGTGGGTACCATACACTTCTTCATTGACTTGCTAATTCATATAAAGTCTAGTTAACTGGTGTTGAGCAGCCAGTGGCCAGGAAACACTTGACTGCCCCGTTCTTGCCTGTATATTTTCTCAGGGGGTGTATGTGAGGGTATAGCAACGTATATAGCGTCACTTTAGAGACAGAAGATGGAGTCCCCAGGCCTGGGTTCATTTGATCCGCTGTAATCACAGAAGGGCTGAGATGCAATGTCACACCCCAGCACCTCGTTTACACCCTCAGCAAGTGTTTAACAGTCATTCTAGTGTTTGCGGCAGGGGGAATCCAGAGTCAAACTTACAGGTAAAGTTCTTTATTCCTTTAATGAATAAATCCTTTAAATTCCTTTAAAATAAATCCCACCCTGCAGTTGTGCACAACAGAGTGACATGTGGAAAACAAGAGCTGAGCCAGAAATGGCACAGTTTATGTCACATACTAGTCAGGGGCCAGAGTTCATGTCACCACTGAGCAAACCCTGCCATCTGACAGTCAGATGGGACCTCTGGCCCGGGTGAGAGCCCCCACAGTGGAGGCTACAGAGATGCCCCCTTGGAACTCGTCGGCCACGCTGCGCTCGGAGCAGCTGCTTTGCAGCTCAGCTGCCCTTGAAGCCGCCTGGCCTGTGCACAGCCTTGGGGGACGGGCGCTGTTGAGTGTCTTAGTAATAGTAATGATCACAGCCAGCATTTATTGCTCCTGAATACGTGCATGGCTCTGTTCTAAGTGTTTGGTGTGAATGAATTCATCTGAGTCTTACAAGCCTTGTGAGGTACAGAGTGAAGCACCCACTATGGGGAGAGGGGAGGGACTCTGAGACAAGCACTAGGTAGCAAGGGGCCTTTGCTCTCAGAGCCCATTCTTTCCTTTTCTTTTTTCTTTTTCTTTTAAAAATTGGAGTAAAATACACATCATACCACTTGGACCATTTTTAAGTGGGCAGGTCAGTGGCACATGCATAGTCACATCTGGCTGCTGTCACTACCATCCACCCGCAGAGCTCGTCCCCTCTCGCAGGACTGACACTCCGTTCCCGTTAACCAGGTACGGATTCTGGTACTTCTGGAGCTGGAAGAGGTAAGAAATTGATGAGTTACAGTTGAGGAGGAGAGACTTGAACTGGGCCTTGAAATCCTACTGGGTGGGATATACAACAGGTAAGGGAAGAGAGCAGGGCATTCTAGGTCAGGGCTGGCTGTAACAAGGCTTTTGATCAGTGTCTGGTACCTAGTAGGTGCTAAATTAAAATTGTTTGAAATTTGTTTTTTGAAGTATAGTTGATTTACAGTGTTGTGTTAGCTTCTAGTGTACAGCAGAGTGATTCAGTTATACATAATATAGATTCTTTTTCATATTCTTTTCCATTATGACTTATTGCAGGATATTTAATATAATTCCCTGTGCTGTACACCATAGGATCTTGTCGTTTATCTGTTTTATATATCGTAGTTTATATCTGCTAATCCCAAACTCCTAATTTATCCGTCTCCCACCCCCTAAATTGAAATATTTTCAAAAGATATTTTGGAACAATTTTATTTCTAAATGCATATTTTATATAGCAGTTGCTTTAGAAGAGATGATCTTGGTGGGGTTTTTTTTTTAAGGTTTAACTGACAAATATTTAAAGTATACATCAAGATGATTGGATATATGTGTATATTGTAAAAGGATTCCCCCATCAAGTTGATTTAACACATCCATCCCCTCATATATTTATCTTTTTTTTTTTTCGGTGAGAACATTTAAGTTCTACACTCTCAGCAAATTTCATTAATACAAAACAGTGTTATCAACTGTGGTAATGTCACCCTGTTCTACAGACCTAATTCATCTTAAAGCTGTACGTTTATACTCTTACCAACTTCTCCATGTTTTTCTCCACCCTGAAGCCCCTGGCAACAATCTTCTGTGTTTCTATTGGTTTGACTTTTTTTTTTTAAGGTTCACACACGTGTGATACCGTGCAGTTTATCTTTATGTGGTTTATTTCACTTATGATAAGTCCCTCGAGGTTCGTCCATGCTGTCACAAATGGCTGGATTTCCTTCTTTGGAAGGCTGAATAATATTCATACATATATATATTCATGCACATATGTATATATATACCCCCCACGTTCTCGTGAACCATTCATCTGTTGATGGATACTTAGGTTGTTTCCATTGTATGTTCTTGGCTCCTCTGTCAAAAATTAATTGACCATAATGCATAGATTTATTTCTGGATTTATTTTATTTATTTCTGTTGCTATTTTGTTCATTGTTTTCTGGCTGTTTTGCAATCCGTTTGTTCCTTTACTCTTGCTTTCGTCCTTTTTGATGTGATTTTTCTGTACTTTGTATGCTTTGTTTCCTTTTCCTGTATCTTTTGTGTACCTACGGTAGGTTTTTTGCTTTGTAGTTACCTTGAGGCTTACATAAAACATCTTATAGTTAGAATAGCCTATTTTAAACTAATAACAAATTTACTTCAAACACATACAAATACTTCACATTTTTATACTCCTTGCTGTTTTTTGTTTTTGGTGTTACAGTTTGTATCTTTTTACATAGTGTATCCATTAACAAATTACTGTACTTATAATTATTTTTAATACTGTTGTCTTTTCATCTTCATGCTGAAGTTGTAAGTGACCTGCTCAGCACCATTGCGTTTGAGTATTCTTCAAGTAAATATCTGTTTGAAGACAGAGTGAACAGAACTGAATGGACAGATTGGAAATAGTGCCCGTCCCTTTGACGTGAAAAGCAAATCTAACTTCCAAGCAGCATTGGTAGGAGTACAGATTGATGAAGGCTTTTGGAAGGCATTCAGCTTGGTAGTAACTAAACATTTTAAATGAGCGCACACCTTTGACCCAGAAACCCCACTTAACAGAAATTTACTCTAGAACCATGTTTGCTCATGTTCTAAAAGATATGATTAAATAGTTCGTGGTATATCTATATAGACTTTAAAAAAAAATTAGCAAGTACATATAGCGGTTCCTCATGTGCCCAGAACTGACATAAGTGTTGTGCAGCTATTAGGCTTACAACAAGGCCTTGTGGTAGATTATATCATATACGCTGTTATGTTAGCACCATGTCACGGAGAAGGAAACTGGCAGAGTTTAACTTGGCCACAATCACACAGTTAGTAAACGACAAAGCTCACAGAGGAACTCAGTCTGGTTCTGAGGTCTTTCGTTACACAATGCAGTGGTGACAAAGGACTTGACAGACTCAGTGAGGTGCCATCCATGTGTGTAAGCAGCCACGACCCAGTAACAGCAAAAAAAGACAAACAGTGAGTCAATACATGGAGCAGGTCCCATGCATTAAAAAATATCCAATAAGATGTATGTGTGTACTCACACGGGTGTGAAAATACACAGCAGTGTGTCCCAAACTGTTGGTGGTACTTTGCCTCTGATAAGAAGAGTATTTGTGTGTTTTACTTCCATTACTGAGAATTATGTATTCCTCTGTTAGTCTTTTTTTTTTAAAGGAAAAAAAAAACAATGAAGATAATTTTTAAGTAGAAGGAGGAGAGCCTGAGACATCGCAGTAAAGACAAGCCTTGGCAGCCCCAGCTCCCTTGACTTGGCCCCAGCGGTGAAGTTCTGCGTTTCCCGAGATGTCAGGGTGTATATAGTGGAGCTTTGTTTTCTTTATCATTTTGTACATTCCTTTTCCCCCATCCTCCCGTGAGGCAGCAATAAACCTACCATTTCTTTTACCTAGATTGAGCTGCTACATGTCTGTCTGTGTTCTGCAGTACTTTATGATAAAGAATCAGCTCTTGTTTTGTTTTGTTTTTTTTTTTAATACATTCTGGTTATAGTTTTGTGGGGGTTACTTTATTTTCAGTTGTGCAGTTTGGTAAGAATGTGAATGTTTGGGGAGGGGGAAAGTCAGAACTAAGACAGGTGGCATTCAACCTGGATGGCGCCTTGCGAATGTTCCCCTGACCATGTGAACGAATGATCAGCAGGCTTTGTGAAACAGAATCTGATTCCCACAGGGAAGGTAAATAATGGTATGTGGAAGTTTGGGAAGACCATCAGAATATTCCAGAGAAAACCAAGATAAGTTTGTTACCTAATGAATTTTTTTAAAGCTCTCATGGTGCTCTTATTTGCTGGCAGGATAAGGTAAACAGAGTTGAAAGGTTGCTCTTCTGGTCCAAAGACCCCTGCCCAATCATCAGATTATCTTTGGAAGTCTATGATTGTGTCATTCCAGCAGACAGAATTTAAAACCTCTTCTGTGAAATACACAAGAGCCCTCTAGTACCCCAGTTCACAATGTATAGTAGATTTGGTGTGCTCAGAAAACCTCACTGTTCTCAGTCAAAAATAGCCTGAAATTTCTTTGGAAAAATATCTACAAAAATGGTATCTGTGGTGCTTCTTAGAAACTACTATGAAGATTTTTGGTCTTTGTGTCCCATCACCTTTATGGGCCATATCTGATCTAAGGCAGTCTTATTCATCCTCCTCACCTCATTGCTCTCCAGTTGATCGCGAGCTCCTTGAAGCCAAGGAGAATGTTTGAGTAGTCTTTGT